ATATATATATATATATATATGGATATTCTAAACTTCAGAACCCTTCAAATTACAAAGGTTGAAGATGTAGAGAGTTGTGAAGGGTGGATTTATTAATTTTGTAGTCTATTTTTTAAAAAAAGTTTCTTTTGTGGGGCAATTTTGTAAATATTACTACAAGACAAAGGGTACTTTTGTCATCTCCATAAGGGGTAAAATTGAAATTTTAAATGAAAGACAAGAGCACTCTACAAATAAAGTTTCAAGATACTAACTTTCAAACTGCCATTGTACTTTTGTGAAAATTTCAAATTTGCCATTGCTTAATAGTAAAGTTACCTATTTAAATAATTTTTTAACAAAAAAGTAATGAGTGTTTTGATAAATACACCCATCACAACCCCTTCTAACTTGAACCTTTGTATTTTGAGGGGTTATTAACTCTAGACAAGCCCATATATATATAGGAAGAGACTCCACAACGCCTATGGGCAAAAATGAATAGTATTTTCACCCATAGGCTCATCATATTCTAAAAAAAATCTGACGGTGTACGTTTTTCAACCACCACGGACCTAGCATGTTCATGGCAGTACCGTCACATGCTAGGTTCAACACGATCAAAAAATCACACGGAATCGCAACGGACGGCGCGTCGTCTATTGCGATGGCGAAACACTGTAGCATTTCGCCTATAGTTGTTTTTAGGTTTTTCCTATATATATATATATATATATATATATATATATAGGCCTACTGAGACACATTGTAGTTCAAAAGTTTAAAACAATAACTAATGGTCTCCTTAACCACCATTGCTAGCAATGGGCAGCTGACATGAACAGTCTCTTTGCACAGTGTCTGCTTTGACAGGAAAATTTGTGCATCAGTTGGTCGAAGTGCGGTGCAATAAGGGCTTGTATTTTGTAAACCATGTAGGTCATAACATGGTTCCTATGGTTGCGTGTTTTTATGTGCACATATACATTCCTTCTGTATTATGCAGCAAATCAATTTTCTTAGTACTTAAAAACCATTCACTCTGTGGTTATTGCATATGTACTCTTACTTGTGTCTATGAAATATTTTCAGGAATGTTGGGGTACAATTTGATTAAAAGGAAAGAATTTATCTGATTTTAGTGAAATGGAATTAAAGAGACTTCAGTTTTCAACATGGTTTGCTTGGCTTATTGTTTAGGCAAGAGAGGTTCTTTCTGATTTTCTCAAGCTATGTCCTGATGCAAAGGCAACCACCGAGATTGCTACTGAGGAAATAACCAGGGTGACACATTCCCTAGGTCTTCAAAGGAAACGAGCTGAGATACTTCAACGCTTCTCTCGAGAATATTTGGATGATCACTGGACACATGTCACCCAGCTTTATGGCATTGGCAAGTAAGTAGACTCTTTTTTCTTTTTGAATGATTAGGGAACAAAAGTGTTCTTGATGGCTATTCTTTTCTTTTCAGCCTATGGAGGGTTCTAGATGTATACTACACTATTAAGTCAGTTTAATTTGTGCAGTTCAGATTTCCGTTAGTAATAATCTCTTAGTAAATTTGGACCTTTTCAATTAGCGAAGAAAATTTGGACCTTTGTTTCATAAGAGTATAGGGTTTGATTCATAGTCGCTTGGTGAAATGGAGATTTTTTTTGTTTTTTCTTGTTTTCCGCTCAAGTCTGCTGTTATCTACACAACTAGAAGATCAGTTCATCTCTACCTGTTCTTGTTGATATTGGAAGTCACGATGACATGTATCATATTGTTGGTATGATGCTTGTCTCCTTATATACAATTGACACATACACATCTCCAACATATGTGTATGATCAGATTGGAAGGCCTCTTACAAGGTATTGTGAATGTTCCTCCCAGAACTGTTGGATCTCACACATCCCGCTTCTTTTGATCCTCTCATCCTGATAATGTGAAGACCTGATGGTGGTGGAACTAGCAATACAATTGGTGGGAGTTCCCTTAGAAGTTGTTCATTCGCTCTCCAATCTCTTCAATGTATAGGTTGCTCTCTTTTATGATGTGTGTGTGTGTGTGTGTGAGTGTTTGCACAGATCTCTCTCTTGTGTGCGTATGACAATGATAGAAAATTCTTTGAGGAATCTAACTGGTAAGATAAAACAATGAAAAAAGAAAGAAAAGGAGGCTCGCCTGTTTACCTATCAATTTAAACAAGAGAACAGAGTGCAAGAAAAAAGTGTGTAGCAATTAGAGTGAAGTTTTCCTTCTTGTTTTGGTTCTTGTTTCGTTGGCTAGGTATGCAGCTGATGCATATGCGATATTTTGCACGGGGATGTGGAAGGATGTTCGCCCTGATGACCACAAGTTAAATGACTACTGGGGTTTCCTTTGGGAATTGGAGAGGGCATCAAACGAACAAGTTCAAGACTGTTTGTAAGAACTCTCTTACGCCTCATTTCGGATATGGCTCTAATGGTAAGTTATTGGTGGTCTCCAATTCTGGTTTTCTTGTGCCCCATGTAGTATATGATTGTGAAGCTATTAGCTATGGGTGAGCTTTGGTTTTGTTTTGCCCTATTTTGTATGTGATTGTGAAGCTGTAGGTGGGCACAAATGATTTTATCGTGCACCATTTTTGTACAGTGTTATATAAAGGTGGTTCCAAAATTGATGTGGAGCGAAGGCATCCTGAATTTTTAGACTCATTTTTTAGATCTTCTCTACAATTCAATGTGCGTTTGAAATATAGCACCAACATTATATCGATACCAGCATTTCCATTTCTGTAAATATAAGCACCTTAAATATAGCAACATTTCCATTTCCATTATATCAATACCAACATTTCCAATTCTGTAAATATAAGCACCTTAAGCACTGATTTACATTGCTCCATTTCCAACATTACACCACAAGCACCTTGTAATTCACCATCAATATGCGGATTGCAGAAATCAGGATGTGTGGATTGCCATAATATTTATTTGGAGGCACCTATCGTTTGCTCTAGACCACTTTGGAGGGATATTATGTGGTATGAGTTTCATATGCATAATATGCTCATAGTACCAGCATTGCATTATATCAAGATATGATAAGTTATAATACTATTTGGTAACTAGTCTAAACCATTATGCTTATACAAGAAGTGAGAATTCCATAACAATCAAATCAATATAGATAATATGATTTACTTGCATAAGAGTGGTTGAGCCATTAAAATATCTACACATAAAAAGTAGCAGCATTTTTGAGGGAACGATACAACTAAGTGAGGGTTGTAGCATCTCAAGCATATCTATTTGTTTGTTCAATATTTTCAAAGAATTGCAAATACCAGGTTGGTATTGATGCATATGATGCATCTGAGAAAATGGTGACACCAACGTTCTCTAGGTTTGCTTCATATGCCATTTTGTAAAATTTAGCCTATCACCATGAGTGCTTGATAACAGTCAACTTAGCATCACGGTTACTTGATCCAATTGGTTTTGTATATACTCACAGTTGTATGTAATTGGACGACAGGTAACGGACTCTCCATCCACAACCAGACTTAGGATCTCGTAAGCGTGAAAGAGCGTAGGTGTCATATCACCAATTTGTATATTAAAATGTGGCAAATTGGTTTTAGATCACCACTTCTCTGCGTTGATTGTGGCTAAGGAATAATCCATTTGACCTAGCCGGAGAGTAGATAGAGTACCTAATTCAGACATCTTCACTTGGTCAAATTGTTAGTTAGATCCCAATTGTCCAATTGATGGGTTTTCTCATCAATTCTCATTTCCAGTCTCTCTTGAAGTACAACAAATAGGCCACATGTGGTCACAATACAGATATATGTACTTCATGTATGATATTTAAAACGACCACAATTAATAAAAAAAATGACGAACTAACAGACAAAGAAGATGAATATATTCATATATTTGTCCTTGCCAAATATAATAGGAAGAAGGAATCTTGTGCAGCTGCAACAAACTCGGGCCTTTAGGACTTCCATCTGGATGGGTACAATCCATGATAACTGGAATCCCATATGTACACCAAGTTAATCACAACATTAAATATACAAAACTTGATAATAAAATATAGCAAATCCAAATTCCATAATAAACTAAAAATCAAGCGTTTCTTTTCATGGTATATATTCACTAAGACAAGCAACAACAAATGAACCGCACAATGATTACCATTTTCAGTTTCTCAACACATATTAGAGTGCATTGTCTAAGTTACACTCAGTTATTATAAAAAATACAAATAACTAATCCTTAAATGCTAAAATCCTAAAAGAACACAAAGTGCATTCAAATACATTAAACAGCAGATGATATAAGAAAAATGTGAAAGAAATCAAAGTAAAACAACAATTCTTGCAAGATAGCATGGCTTTTTTTTCTTTTCTTTTTTTTATTTTTTTATTTTTTCTCTGTATTTTTTTCTTTTGTACTTTTTTACTTACCCAAAAAAAATACAAAAAAAAAGAGTGGTTGTTCTCCATCCTCATATGATCGTGAAAAAATGGGTGTCCATAAAATTATAGAACCTTCACGGTAATTCCATAATAACGCTAAATATAATAAATGTATACATTATGTTATTATTATTATTATTATTATATATTATTCATTGGTTAATATTCACAAATACTATTCATAGGTATTGTTCATATAATAGTGTTTACAGGGATAAAATAATCATTAAACTAGGACTTTTTGCGTCTATAGACATTTAATATCGTTGAATATTAAATTATAATATATAAGAGGTGTATAGGGTCTTGCGGATGCCGTTTCACGTAGTTTTCATAAATTAAAAGAGAAATAAAAGCTTAAGCTTTTTGAACCTTAGCTTGGGGTGAGGAGGAAACCAAAGGTTTCTCGTAGTTATTGCTTGTGTTTGGCTAGTTTTTTTGTTGATCATTTGTATTAGTTTTCCTATACCTGCATTTAGTTTCAAAGATCAGTTTTTTTCAACAATAAAGTCGTAAAACTACAGCCAAGCTTAGGTTTTGCTAATTTGGGCCACGTTTTATCAAATCAGCCTAGATCTTATTGTTTTTAGCCATATTTTGTTAATTATCTGTCTAGGTTTATGATTTTGGCGAGTCCCTAACAACAAGAAGGACCGTGGAAGGGGGTTTTCGCAATTCCACTTCCTGATGCCAGAGATATAGAAATTGAGAAACATAAATGACAAGTTCAATAGCTGACACAGCAGTTTGCAAGTATCTATCATACGTAAGATATTGGTCTTTTTACCCTAGAAGATGTCATGTACCCTTTTCACTTCTATGATCCGTGTGAAGACTAAAGTGAAGAGGAAAGTGATATAAGACCTAAACATGACGAATATTACTATAAAGTTTTCAATTTAAAGAATGACATTTTTAATTTTGATGCAAGTTGTATAAAAAAATCAAAAGGTTACATTGAGACTTGCTCCCAATGTTCGATATATGCTCAAATGAACAACAAGATTTCTTAAGAGATTCAATCTATGATAAAGATCATGATGAAGATGAAGACGTTTTATAGGAGGATTTTGCTTGTGAAGAATATGAAGAGAATGTGACATGAGGACTCACCAAAATCATGGGCTTTGAAGATCTCAAGGATATCAAAGAGGTGGAGCATTCAAGAGCTCTAGGGTATTGGAATCAGAATAGTATAATGGAAGTGTGGTCGATTTATAAACTGTAAATTGTAGCCCTGCTTTCAGAGAGCAATAAAATAGATGTCAAAAAACCTCCAAAGACCAAAAAATTGAGTTTGAAGTTCTCTACATAATTTTTAATGCAAGTTTAGGGATTGCCACATTTAGTAAGTTTGTATCAATTCCTTATTATATATACCAAGATTTGTTTCTTGGGATTTCTTGTTAAGAGGAACTATATTTGAGCCAACAAAAAAGAAGTTTTAGAAAGGTGGTTTTGATTCTAAATTCATCTTAGCACATGTCAAAACTCGAGTACAAGTTTTCTCCAACTAGGGGACAATAATGCAAAACAAAATTATTATTACTTTTAATTTTTATTCAATTTCAAATAATGTATATTTTGATTTTAGTTTTAGGATTTTTAAGTTTTTTTAGAGATTCTAGGATTTTTTATTTTTTATGCATAGGCACTATTCATAGGTACTATTTATATGTTATTGATCATAGGGGTAAAATTATCATGACAATTTTTGTGTTAAAGCTAAGATTTTTTAAGATATTTTAATTATTGTATAGACATTTAATATAGTTAAATATTAATTTATAGTTAAATATCAATTTATAATATCTAAGAGGTGCTTAGGACCTTAAAAGGGTTATTCCACGAGATTTCAGAATTTGCAAGAGAAAAAAAAACTCAATCTTTTGAAACCTTAGCCTAGAGTGAGAAAGACACCCCAAGTTTCTCCAAATTAATATCTATGTTTGGCTTATGTCTTTGTTTCTATCAATTTCCCTACCTCAATTCGCATCCCTCTTTTGAAATCCACCCAAATAGGGCTTTTTAGAAATACCCAAAATTAACCATCGAAACCGATCCATTATCAAAGCATCATCTTTCTATTTCTTCAGCATCGACGGGAAGATAAAGGGGAGGCCATTTTTCTTTTTTGGAAAGTTGGTTTTTAATCTTTTTTATGGTGGTTTCTCTTTTTGTGCTATTTTTTTAGTGGGGTTTTATTTGCCAATTGATTAGGACAGTATTTTTTACAATATTACTATTGATTTTCACGTTCAATCTGGGCTATCAGGCTCACGCACGCTATTCTATCAACTAATAAGATATATATATATATGGAATGGGTGCTATCCGTATAAAGTGATCTCCGTCGCATCAACCAGAGCAACGATATGCAGAATAACATGCACAGTGAAACCGCAATGGTGCAAAAAAAACTGCCCTAATCAGTAAGATAACAAAACAAGCAAATAAAACCCCATTAAAAAAAAATAACCCAAAAAGAGAAACCACCATGAAAAGAGTAAAAAACCAAACTAACTTTCTAAAGAAGAGAAATGGCCTCACTTTTATCTTCCTATCCTATCGGTGCAGAAGAAATAGAAAGGCGATTCTACCTTGACGATGGATCGGTTTCGATGGTTAATTTTGGGTATTTATTGAGAGCGGTATTTGGGTGGATTTCAAAAGAGGGATGCGTATTGAGAGAGAAAGAGAGAGAAAAGGGGGTTTAGAGAGAGAAATACGAAAAAGAACGGAGGTGCAATGGACTGTCGAAAGGCAAATGGAAAATGTGAGGAGAAAATGAAGAAGGATCTAACAATGCATTGGGGTAATTTGTCAAAAAAAGTGGGGAAAACTCTAAAATGAGTTGATGAGAGAGAAAATTAGCTGTGGTAACAGAGTTGATGAGAGAGAAA